ATTTTAAAAGAAATACTTGGACATTAAAAGAAATGAAACCTAAATGCTTTATTTGTATATTTATTTGTGCCACATAAAAATATTTTTAAAGGGGCTAAGAAGTGTAAAATGTTATTAAGAAAAAATGCCTTTGCAACATGGCAAAGCAGGGGACCACCGCTAGAGAGACATTTGTACTTTGAAGCTGTTTTTTTCTCAGCCCTTGTGGGTGTTCTAAGATCACAGAGCTGAGGCATCTTCAGTGTCCAAGACCTGATGCAAATTCTCACTTCTTTGCTTGACCCAGCCCTTTGGAAAGATTAATGTGAAATCACTTTCATTATGGTCTATTAATTTTTAAAAGGCTATGATAGTTAACTTTCAAACTGTTATCCCTTATAGATTAAAAGTAAAATACCTCAGTTTTCTGAAAGCCCTATTTGGATCTTTAAATATAAATGCAATTCCCTTTTTAACTATACTCATGCCTCCCATCAAAATCGTTTAACAGCAGAAATTATTTTCTAAAGCAGAAGCATATTTCAACTCCCACGTAATAACACTGCAAAATTTGGTAACATCTGCATATTTTCTTTCCTAATTGCAATGTTAGTTTGAAGTTAATTATATGAAACTGATTTTTTTCCCAAGCACAACTTTCATATATCACATTTAGTTTAATTGGTACTTGGAATAATAAATTGTTTTTCAGCTAGAGCATATTGTTTGATATTGCTAATGAAATGATTTTAATGTTAAGCTTAGCTATTAGGAGGAATCTTATTTTATCTCTTATTTTTTAATATAATTCTACATTGTAGCACCCTAATTAACCTAGCTATTTTCCCTTTTTTTTCAATCTTCAGGATAACATTATATAAAAACATTACAATAAGTGGCAGGGAATAGTTTCTTTAAAAGAAGGTCATAACTAGTTGGGGCTAAGGAATGGAGTGATTAGCAAGACTCCACAAACAATTTTCTCGGTTATATATCGTGTGGCATTATTCTCTGCATTGTGTAAGAGATTAGATAAGAGATTAGAGGAAGGAAAATTCAGTGCAAGGTGAAATCAATTCAGGTGGCTTTGTGATGGAAGTGGGACCTGAGTTAAACATTGAAAAACTGGTTGGGATTTGGAAATGTGGGTGAGAGGCTATTTCTTGTGTGAGCAATAGCATGAACAAACACTCAGAAGCAGGAAGAATCTTTGAAGTGTTCAGAGGATGAGTCTGCCTAGGTCAGCTTAGAGTTCATGCTGGGGAGCATTGGAAGATCATGCTGGACACATAACATGAAGTCATAGGGGGCAAGGAGTGCCAGGACCAAGCATTTGTAAAAGAATAGTAAGCCACTGAAGATTTCTGAGTGAAAGTGGATGTAGTACCTCACAAAAGCCTGGCCTGAGGGTCAGCAACTAGATGAGTCAGGGGCCAAGAAAAATATACAAGCACAAAAGAATAAAGCCAAGCAAAGTGGGCAGCTAACATGAAACCTGGGTGGCAAGAAAGTCTTAAAAGTGAGGACATGTCTGCCCAGGCAGGAATCCTTATAGTCTTCCTTTTGGGGGCAGGAATTATTTCCCGGGTCCTAAGTGGGTATGAGTGAATCCTAGAATGGAAATGTGAATCAGCTAACCCAAATGGAGTACCAGGGATTTGGACAAATCCCGATGTAATCAAAGTGGAGTTTCAGTAAATGAAGAATGAACGAACCCAGGGTAAAGCCAGGTTTAGATGGGGCAGTTGAAAAATATTTGTAACAAATAAGGAATGACATGATAGGCACTTAAAAGGTAGTCATTGTGGGCATTGAGAGGAATGATACGTATAAAAAACAGCTCCGAGTAGAAATGTATCAGTGAAAGGCAGCACTGAGATTTCAAACCCGGGTAAAAAGGCAATAGTAGTACCATGGACAGAAATACAAGAGTTGGGAAGGAAAGTTCTACATGAAGACCTCAGCATTTCCTGATTTGCTTTTCCTAATCCAGTAGAACTCGGCTGGAAAGAACATTTATAGCACACGGTCAGTGACCAACATACTGAATAATTGGGACTGAATAAATCTCATGGAGATCTTTGAGTGTGGCTTATTTTTTATTTGGCTTCTGACCACATGAGGGTTTTAGAGGAATAAATCCCACTTGGTCGTGGTGAATAATCCTTTTAATGTACTATTGGATCCTATTGGCTAATATTTTGGTGAGAATTTTTGCATCCATATTCATCAGGGAAATAGTTCTGTAGTTCTCCTTTTTGATGGGGTCTTTGTCTGGTTTTGGGATCGAGGTAATGCTGGCCTCATAAAATAAGTTTGGAAGTTTTCCTTCCATTTCTATTTTTTGGAACAGTTTCAGGAGAATAGGTATTAATTCTTCTTGAAATGTTTGGTAGAATTCCCCTGGGAATTCATCTGGCCCTGGGCTCTTGTTTGTTGGGAGACTTTTGATTACTGTTTCAGTTTCCTTACTGCTTATGGTTCTGTTCAGGTTTCTATTTCTTCCTGGTTCAGTTTTGGTAGTTTACACTTCTCTAGGAATGCATCCATTTCTTCCAGATTGTCTAATTTGCTGGTATATCGTTGCTGAAAATATGTTCTTATAATTGTATTTCTTTGGTGTTGGTTGTAATCTTGCCTCTTTCATTCATGATTTCATTTATTTGGGTTCTTTCTCTTTTCTTTTTGATAAGTCTGGCCAGGGGTTTATCAATCTTATTAATTCTTTCAAAGAAACAGCTCCTAGTTTCGTTGATCTGTTCTACTGTTCTTTTGGTTTCTATTTCACTGATTTCTGCTCTGATCTTTATTATTTCTCTTCTCCTGCTGGGTTTAGGCTTTATTCTGTTCTTTCTCCAGCTCCTTTAGGTGTAGGGTTAGGTTGTGTATTTGAGACCTTTCTTGTTTCTTGAGAAAGGCTTGTATTTCTATATACTTTCCTCTTAGGACCGCCTTTGCTGGATCCCAAAGATTTGGAACAGTTGTGTTTTCATTTTCATTTGTTTCCATGAATTTTTTTAATTCTTTAATTTCCTGGTTGACCCATTCATTCTTTAGTAGGATGCTCTTTAGCCTCCATGTATTTGAGTTCTTTCCAACTTTCCTCTTGTGATTGAATTCTAGTTTCACAACATTGTGGTCCAAAGATATGCAGGGAATGATCCCAGTCCTTTGGTACGGATTGAGATCTGATTTGTGACCCAGGATGTGATCTATTCTGGGGAATGTTCCATGTGCACTAGAGGAAAATGTGTATTCTGTTGCTTTGGGATGGAATGTTCTGAATATATCTGCAAAGTCCATCTGGTCCAGTGTGTCATTTAAAGCCTTTATTTCCTTGTTGATCTTTTGCTTAGATGATCTGTCCATTTTAGTGAGGGGGGCGTTAAAGTCCTTTACTATTATTGTATTATTGTCGATGTGTTTCTTTGCTTTTGTTATTAACTGGCTTATATATTTGGCTGCTCCCATGTTAGGGGCATACATATTTAAAATTGTTAGATCTTCTTGTTGGATAGACCCTTTAAGTATGATGTAGTGTCCTTCCTCATCTCTTATTATAGTCTTTGGTTTTAAATCTGATTGGTCTGATATAAGGATTGCCACCCCAGCTTTCTTTTGATTAACATGGTAAATGGTTTTCCACCCCCTCACTTTAAATCTGGAGGTGTCTTTGGGTCTAAAATGAGTCTCTTGCTGACAGCATATCTATGGGTCTTGTTTTTTTATCCAATCTGATACTCTGTACTTAAGGGATTTTCAATAATTAGGGCACTACCTATTGTTTAATTACTGACAGAAATATGCTGACAGGTTGGCAGGTAAACAACTTGGCATATAGGAATGGAAGTCAGTGTTTCAATAGATACGCAAGTAGGTTACCTCGAGGTGATGCATTTGATGAAACGTTTTCTCCAAATTAAAGCTTTCTTCTTTATTCTTATTAATTAGATATTATCTTCTTTAGATGCTATCTTCCAATGAGGTCATGTCGCTAAGACATGATAAAATGGATTGAACAATTATTGGTCAGAATGAGTTAAAATAGCAATGTTCGATTTGAAAAAAAAATCAAATGAGATGTTTAACAATAAGAACCATTAAACATGTGTTTTTATTTATTCCTTTATTTATCTAATATCCACTATGTCAGAAACCATGTTAAGTGCTTTCTATTCATTAGTTGATTTCATTAACAAATAATCTCATGAAATATGTACTTTTGTTATTCTCATTTTCCAGAAAAGCTAACTGTGGCCAGAAAGGTTAAGTTGCCTCAGATTATACAAAGTTAATTAGCGATAGAGCCAGAATTTCCAGTCAGGTCTAGTGTGATTCTGAAGCCCTTATCCTTAACTGCTATCCTATGCTTGTCTCTTCTGGCTTGAGCCCACAAACAAGGTGATTGTGAATTTTATGAAGCCTTCAACACTCCACCCACAAAAGATATGATTTCTGTCATGTGTGAAAAAATAATGGTTCATTTATAAAATATGCCACTGAATGTTTAACAACCTATTTTCTCACATTTCTGGCAATGGGTATCTTTATGTTGTGGAACCAGATTCAATGCAGTAAGAGCTTAAATTTCTAGAAGCTGCATATAAACACATTATAAGCCTTTGTTGCCTTGAAGACTTCATTATGACCCAGATGCTCTATGAATATCTCAAACTTGGGTTGGGGATGTGGAAAATTATTTTACAGTTGTTTGAGGAAAAAGCCAGATATTAGCAAAAGAAAAATCTGAGAAACCAACCACTGTTTTAAAACAAACAAACAAACAAAAAAACAGAACAAAAACCAAACTATACCTTTGAAAAATCCTGTTACACTGAGTAAAATCTTAAATATATGTCATATGTATTCATATATGAATGACATTTTGTATGCATCTATTTCTAACTGAACTTATGTTTCTATAACACCAAAAATGCATGCTAAAGAACTTAAATTTTGCATTTTTATTCACCTGTAAAACTAATGGAAAATTGTTTTTCTTTTTTTTGTTCTTCTCACAGCTGAATTTTTATTCCTCTTGTGGGGTGTTTATCTCTGCTATGCAGTGCGGACAGTGCCATCAGCATTTCATGAGCCACGCTATATGGCTGTTGCAGTTCACAATGAGCTCATTATCTCTGCTATATTCCATACAATTAGGCAAGTGCTCTGTGGAGCTAGTAAATAACTGTTTTGTTTCTCTGATGTGTTGCAGTTTAATTTAAATAGCAAAATTGGATAACACACATAATGGAAAGATTTAGGAAGGATAGTGTTTTTAAGCTAATTTCTTTGTCACAGAAATGCCAAATGAATATAGTTCATTTTTTTTTTAAGATTTATTTATTTATTTAGAGAGGGAGAGGTGGTGGAGAGGGACAAAAGGAGAGGGAGAGAGAAACTCAAGTAGACTCTGCACTGAGCACAGAGCCCAACATGGGGCTCAATCTCAGGACCCATGAGATCATGGCCTGGGCCGAAACCAAGAGTCAGACACCTAACCAACTCTGCCACCCAGGCACCCCTATAGTTTTGTTTTGTTTTTTTTTAACTGCTGTTCTTAGTTCCTTCTGTTTTGTTATCACTTTTATTTATTTGAAGGTTAACTCGATATTATTGTATTATATTAAACAACTTATGGGAATGTCATTGAATGTTGTTATGATATATAATGGTTTTTGTTCTGAAGATAGAAAGCAACACATAGTTATAAAGTAGATGTAGATAAATTGTGTTTCCATTCATGTTAGTACACTGGTTTACATTTTTAAAATCTTCATACTCAGTCAATTTATGGGTATTAATTCTGCTAAATTCAAAACTAAAAAACCACTCCAACCCAATGACTCGATTTTTGTGTGCAATGAGGTTTTATCACTATCATATTTTAGCAATGACTTTCTATTGGAAGGAGTGTGGCCAGGCCCTCCATTTTTTAATATCCCATTTATTACTATAGTCGGTAAGTACAAAGGAGGAAGAAAATAGCTTATGATAAATGAACAAAGTGAAATATGTATGACTTCTGAGAATTTATACCTATTTATATCTGAAAATGAAATGAAAACCTCAGTGAGAACAAAAAAAAAATCCTATAATTTGAAAGGCAACAAGAAGATGTCATTCATTTGCTTGACAAAGTTAGGATATACATAAGAATTTAATGAGAAATTTTGAATATTTGTCTTTTCCCTCAGTTGAAAAACAGAGGTTAACAATAGTGGGAGTCAGAGTGGGAAAGTGTGGGTCTATGGAAGTTTTAGAAGATACTTATCATTTCTCACTTTAGTCAGTAATTATAAAATGATACCTTGCACTTGTAGGGATAGATGTTGCCAGAGAGCAGTTGAACCTTAGGCATACCTACACTTTGTTCACTTTTAAGTAAGAAAGGAAGTATTTATGATTTGACAACCCTAGAAATTCCATCAAAGGGCCAGGAATCAAAGGAAAATTTGCCTCCTTGCTTTGTCTTGCCCCCCCTCAAGAAAGAGAGAAAAGAGAAAATGAGAAGAGGAAGGAAAGATAAGAAGCAAAATATGATGTTATAAATAGGCAAAAAGAAGGCTTTCTCACTTCTACTCAAACTAGAGCTGAAGGATGTGAGAGGGGATGCCCCAGGTCCACAGTGTAGTGAGCACCAGAGAACACTCTGTCACGGACAGGGCTCCACAGTCTTCACATATCTCCCAAACCATCTCCCAAGAAAAGCTGCATTTTTGTTGTTTGTTTCCAGAATCTCAAACACCTGTGTTTCAAGATATAACAAACATGCTTCTCTAGAACCATTTATAAGTTAAATGCTGTATTAACAAACCAATTAAAGAGTTATAAGCATGCCAGAAGAAATTTACAGACGAGTTTAAATGTCTTCTGTTGTCAGAATGTGACCATGTCATGCAAAGGGTTTCCTACTTTTGCCCTCCAATCAGCTGCTGTATTTCTTAGAATCAAATTAATTGCCCAAGAAATTAAATCTGTTCAAAGCATTTACCTAAATTGATCTTTATCCTTTTCTATCTTAAGATTTATATCTGTTCTGTTTTCATCATTAAGTGTATTTTTTCAATGGACTTTGTTTTTTTTTTTAAGATTTTATTTATTTAACACATAGTGAGAGAGAGAGCACAGACAGAGGGAGCTGTGGCAGAGAGAGAGGGAGAAGCAGTCTCCCTGCTGAGCAAGGAGCCCAACGGGGGGCTTGATCTCAGGACCCTGAGATCATGACCTGAGCTGAAGGCAGATGCTTACCCGACTGAGCCACCCAGGTGCCCCTCAATGGACTTTAAACTCTCAACTTGCCCAAGCAGGCAAGGTAAAGTTATTTTTTAAATGAACTTTAAAAAATTCCTATTAAGGCAATAGGTGATTATTACAGATAAATCATAAAATGATAAAAAATAAACTCCCTAATCCAACCACCCAAAGATGATAAGCACTGTTAATATATTAGGATATCACTTTTAGATGTTTTTATATGCTTGTGTATATTTATGACACATTGCATTTGATAACTCCCTTTTAGGAATGTCACAGCACAAAGTGACATACCGAGAAGTCCTGCTGTAAGGAAACCTAGTTAACTTTGTTTAACCAGTACTTTCCAAACCATTCACCATGATATCCCCCCAACCTCAGTTGACATCTGATAATAGCAGCCACTCTTCAGAAAATTCTGTTTTAATACTGGGCCGAAGTGAGGAAACCTATTCTAAATATTCATTCAGAATAGCTTTCTGGGGGCACCTGGCTGGCTCAATCAGGGAGCATGCATGCGACTCTTGATCTCAGGGTCATGAGTTCAAACCCCACACTGTGCATAGAGCTTGCTTTAAAAAAAAAAAAATAACTTTCTTACTTTCCTTAGATCTTTCCTACAGAGTCCCAGACAACCCATCAGCCTAGCTGGGTTCACATAGACACAACTCTGACTGAATTGTTCTTATTGAACCTAATAGACATGCCCTACTTAAAAGATCAATTTTCCTCGAGACAACTGTGTAGTCCCCTTTAAGTTTTGAATAGGGAGGACTTCTAGTGGTAGCAGGATGACCGGCCTTGGTAGGCTTTGGTATTTTCAAGCCTAAGAAAACCTGAATGGGAACCCAACTTTTAAGTTCCAAATTCAACTTCCCTTCTGCGTAGACCAAACCCAATTAGATTGTGGCATGCTGGCTTCAAAGAATTATAGTATAGATTAGCTACTCTGTCTTGGAAATTTCATTGTATGGCCATAAAGAACCAAGGATGGAATTATAGTTTAACACAGTAAATCTACGGAACACTGATTTTAGGGAGATGAGCAGGGAGAAAGCAGAAGGCAGTGATAATTAAAGGAATCAAGTATATATAATTTCTTATTTACATGTGAACTGAATTCATACATGCTGTGGTTCCAATGTTGATAAAAGTCCAAGAATAGGAAGCAATAACATAATAATATAAATCAACTGGACCCATCTTTGTAATTTTTTACTAGAATTCAATAATATTAAATAAGTCATCCAACATCAGCAAAGATATTCTCTGTCAATTGGCATATATGTTTGTTCTAGTTCACTTAAAATATAAAATTATATAAACATAACTGTGTATATGTATATACGTACATAAATATATAAACTTAAAGCTATGACTACATATTTATATACAGATTTACTTTTATTCTCACCAAATTGCCAGATCAAACAAAAATAAACTAAAAGGATTAAGTCTAGAAGTCTAATAATGCAGAAGGCATTTTGCCTAATCTATTCTATAATCCTTTACTAAGTGTAGAGCAAGACTTTTAAAAGTTTGCTTTTATTCTTAACCTCAATTTTTAACTATTTCTATGTTCCTGACTGTTAGATCTATTTTTTAGAAGTTGAAATAGTCTTTTAAAGAAAAATCCTTAAAAAGACTGCAAAACCCAATTTTTCTTAAGATATTTCTACGCAGAACTGCAACCTAACAAACCTAGCAGTATTTAAACGCTGATTAATTTAAGGGCAAGTAGTATGTAGTACTTCAAATAAACTTTTTGGAAGACTCACCATTTTAATTTAAAATATATGTAACCATTGTTCCTTCCAGATATTGTAGGCTAGCTTAAAGTTCACTTGTGTTGGCATTTGAGATAGAAATTTCCAGTGCATGAGAACACTTTTAGAATGTAAATCCATCTCCTTTGATATAACTCTCTGCTCCAGTACTGGAAATGACCCCAGCAGATTTGGATTATATAATTTTCCAGGTCACAATTTGATATTGCTTCTATGCCTCAGTACTGTGCCTCGGGTACTGTTACTTGTTACTGAGTATGATGATCCAATTTCAGTGCTTAAAAAAATCTCACCTGACCCAGCACAGGATCTGTCAAAAGTATGTCATCCCTGAACAAAGTGAATATTCATTTAGTCATATTCATGGCAGGTATAAAGCCACATTTCTCACTAAGGAGTTAGAGAATATGTTAATTCATAAAATCGTATTTGGTTATAGGTGAACTATCATGAACTTCCTGTACTTCTGTGTATATATTTTAAGCCCATTTTATGTCTCCAAACACAGAGGAAACTATCTCCATTTTGAACAACTCTTGAGCTTCCATTTTAGCTTGATTTTGGGGGGTGTTGGGGGAAGGTGAGAAGGCGGGGGAGAGGATGGTGGTGAAATGAAGAAATCCCCTTGATGGAAATTTTGTTTTAAGTATTAATAATACTAATTTACTTAGTAAATTTGTCATGAATATGGCATAATGCAGGTATAAAATTAGTTTCTTCTATTTTTAGATTCATGTGTTTTATGATTATATCATAAGCATTTTCTTAAGATGTTAGCTTTTCAAATATGATGATGTATATCACTGAATCAAAATGCTAATTCTCTAGGGGCGCCTGGATGGCTCAGTTGATTGAGCATCTGATTCTGCATTTCAGCTCAGGTCCTGATCTCAGGGTGGTGAGATGCGCCCCGCCTGGGGCTCTGCAATCAGCCGGGAGTCTGCGTCTCTCCTTCTTTCCCTCTCCCTCTGCCCCTCCCACTGCTCACCTTTTCTCTCTCTCTCTCAAATAAATAAATAAATAAATAAATAAATAAATAAATCTTTTTAAAAAATGCTAATTCTCTAATTCCAAACACAATAAAATCTCATATTTAGCTTTCATGGATAAACAATGCATGGAAAAAAATTAAAAGAAGAATATGATCGCAAAATGACCTTAATAAAAGCATCACCTGGTTTCTGCAAGAGAATGAGTCCTTAAAACCTGAGTTTTAGTTTGTACATATACTTATGGATTTATGAAAATATTCCAAAATCACCAGAGTAGGTATCAGTACTGAATTTTTCCTATACATGTTTCTCTACAGGACTGTCCTAGAACAGTTTTATAAATTCCTCAGCAAGATATGATTTTAAATTATTTTGGAACAATTTGATAGTTCACAACAACTAAAATTTTTATTTTAAAAAATATGTTTTACAAACCATTAGTATCTTCATTTTATCCATTGCATTGTTTATCATTTAAGCCTCTGAGGCCATTTACAAAGACAGATAATTACCTACTCTTTTTTTCTTAATTTTTTCTTAATTGTTTTCAAAGGAAAAAGATTAGAATCAAGAGTTAGGTGGCTGTGTCTTATAACCCAAATTTGCCGGAAGCCAGTAGTTTATAAATCTGTTCTTTTGAATTCACATGTGTTCACTGCTTTTGCTTTAGACATTCAATTTACATACAAAATAATTATTCCAGGAAATGATTAGCATATTATATATCTATATGCTGTCTTTCTTACTACTGATAATTTAAAATAATAAATAATAAAGAGTTCATGTCTTATGCATCCAGTCAGGTTTACTTAGGGCCTATTCTGTGATGAAAATGTATGCCACAGAAACAACAGTACAACTTTTCTCATGCTTGCTTGCTTTTTTTTAATACACTGAGGAAAAAAAATTCCAAGTATAGTGTTTTAAATAGAGATCTTGTTGGATTACTAACTTGGTGAATTCTCATTTCAGATTCGTTCTTGCCTCAAGACTTCAGTCTGACTGGATGCTAATGCTATATTTTGCACATACTCATTTGACTGTGACAGTTACCATTGGGTTGCTTTTGATTCCAAAGGTATTCCTTTAACATTACTTTTCTCTTGCAAGACAGTTATTTTAAATAAGCATGGAGTTGTTTCTCGTTTAAAAAAATATCTGGCAATATAGGGAAAGGGAGGTGTGGAGATTTGCTTGACACACTAAAATGTTTTTAAAGCTCCCTCCTCGGGGAACTAAATGTCTCTCTTCTTTTAGGATTTATTAAACATCCCATATAATTTTTAAATGCTTTAATTTGTACAAAACCCAACATCTGGTTTGGTTCTTTCTCGAATATTTTGATATGCAGATATGATTTCATTATGGATTCAAGGTAACTTCTTTGTAGCTGTAACATCAAAATAATTTTTAAAGACAATTATCCTATTCTAAGAACCCTCCTGTTTGGATTTACATTCAGGAAGCATTGTGTTGTAAACATTCAGAAAATTTTTATATAAATAGTTATAATATTGTGTATAGAAAAATCTTGCTTTATAATGATAGATTCTGGCAAAGACTTATCTAGAAGCATACTGAAGTGGGGGAAAATGGGCCAGCACTCAGAATACAGGGATTACGAATATATGCTCCACCCACGCTAGCTATACAATATGACACTAGCCAAGACTCTTCATCTCTCTGAGGTTCAATTTCTTCATCTATGACATGATAGCAATAAAGCTGCTTACAGTGAAATAATATGATATCAGAGTGTGCGGAAAAAACATACAAGTTAGAGTATTACTATTATTTTCCTCATTTACACATAGAAAAACAAAATATTAGAACATTATATATCCGTATTAGTACCACACAATATAATATTAGCACAGCTGAGACAAGAATTTGTGATTGCTTGTCATTCACTCCAGGCTTTACCTCCTCACAAGCAAAACATTGAAATTCAGCCTGATTGAAAGGGCAAACAAATGTAAACAGAGAAAAATGCCTATTTTCTTCCTTACTTGAATTATACCAGATAGCTGCACTTTTCATGGATTATTCTGTTACTGCAATTTATCTTATCCATTTTCATACTTTGCATTATACGATTACATTGTTATTAGATGGATGTAGAACTGTAGAAACACAATGTGATGTATCCACACAATGGAACACTATCCAACAATAAGAAGGAATGAAGCACTGATACGTGCTACAACTAGTACAGACCTCAAAACATTACACCAAATAAAAGAGGCTAGACAGAAAAGGCCACATCTTGTGTGGCTCCATTTATATGAAATGTCCAGAAGAGGCAACTCTGTTGAGACAGAAAGTAGGTAAGTGGTTGCCACTAGCTGGGGAAAAGGGGAAATGGAAGAGACTGCTTTCACGGGTTTAAGGTTCTTTTTTGGGGTGATGAAAATATTCTGGAATTAAATAGTGGTGATGGTTGCACAGCACTGTGAAATACCAAAAATCACTCAATTGTACAATTGAAATTTGAGAATTTTATGGTATGTGAATTATACCTCAAGTTCAGATAATTTAACAAAATCATTGAGGGGCTTTGCTAAGCACGGTTCTATATCCTGGAATAAAACTAATGAACAGATAAAAATATGTGCTCTTGTAGTACTTATATTATGGAGAAGGGGAAAACGGAAGAAATAAATAAGATAAATATTTAAAATACTGTTTTAGATAGATTATAAGTACTCAGGACAAATAATAAAGCAGAAAATGGGCAATATCTGACAAATAAGTGTTTCTTAAACTCAAGATCATCTCTGAGACTGTGCTTAAGAAAAACAATTCCACTCTTACAAATAACGTCTGGGTGGTTTCCTAGTAGCATTTGAGCTTTTGGAGGAGAGGACTGTGTTTTATTCATCTTTATGGCCTTAAATTCCTGACACATGTCAGAACCACAGATGTAGTACAAGAGTGAAGGAAAGATTCACCTGTTTCTGTGGTTTCTCAGTCAGTTCCAATTACAAAACATTCATGATTCCTTACATAGAGAATTGCTGTTTCACATGTTATGTTCACCTGCCCACTTAAATATTTTAACAAACATTGACAGTAAAATAGCTCTGTATCATGAAACGGTGATCTGTTAATTTTTTAAAGGAATATTTGACTTGATGACAAGCTGGGAGAAGAGAACCCATGTTCCCTAGACCATTCTCTCAGTTTTCATAGGACAGTCAGTTGGTTTATATGTTGTGTGAAGTGGCGAGATTGTTTTGCGTCTCCCTGCTTTCCATCATTTGTCCGAATCACTTCTCCGCGTCTCCATTTGATGAAGAATAGAGATAGCAAGAGTCTGTGAAACTGAAAAATATCAAAAGGCAACATGAAAAGAATAAAAATACCTCAAAATGTAATGAAGGAGGAAGTTAAGAATACTGAGCTTGAGAAAAAAATTCTGTAATTTCAGTGAAGGTTTGAATGTTAAACTTAGATATCATCACTTTAGGCTGAGAGAGCACAGTGCTCCAGGGAGCTTCTGTGATTTGTTTCCAATCTCACTGTCAACGTAGTTGATGCTAGCATTCAGACCTCCTGTCCCCTAGGTCTTGGAGGCAGCTTTTTTGGAGCCATGTGCAGTAGACTCAAAGTCACTGTCTGTGATCAGGGCCGCTTGTACCCCTCGGTGACATACAGCCTCCCCTATATGATGCAGAACGATAAACACAAGGTATACCCTACAGCTCAAAAAATATTTTTCCCTCCAGCTGCCAGTGGGTCTAAATTGCTTGGAGAACATTCGTGTGGGTTTTTCTACTTCTTTTCATTTTCAGAATGCAAATATCATGTATGAGGAGTAATGTAAGTGAACACTGGCAGCCTAGAGGGAAAACGAGGATGAAAATAGGAGTCGGAGAAGGAACCACATAAACGAGACGGCCTAAGAGCTCTAGCGTGTAACATGAAAAGCAAAACACAAATATAACAGCAGATCTTTTGTAAGGAATTTGGTAAATGAGTTCATCTAAGCTGAAGAAATGATGTGAACATTAGAACCTTCAGAAAATCATTCTGCTGTCTGCCAGTGGGTTAATGTCCGCAGCTCACATTGCGTCTCTATTGCAGTTTTCACATTCAAGCAATAACCCCCGAGACGACATTGCTACAGAAGCGTATGAAGATGAGCTAGACCTGGGCCGGTCTGGGTCCTACCTGAACAGCAGCATCAACTCCGCGTGGAGTGAGCACAGCTTAGACCCAGAGGACATTCGGGTAATGCCAGTATTTCAGCCTTCCTATTTCAGGCTCACCCCGTGCACACAGGCACGCATGTGTGGGCTGACGTATGCATATGCTCACCTGTATGCACACGTGCCCAGAGAGAGAAAGGGAGGGGGAATGTGTGTGTGTAAGAACTGAAAACATCGAATGCAGAGTTAACCCAGTTCTGAAACACACATCACGGTACAAATTACACAGGCCAATCTTGATAGTCTCAACTGACTTATGAGCAGTCATAATGATGAACTGGTGACACATGTTCCCTACTATGTTTTATGACATTTTGCTGATGGAAAGAAGTATAGATCTGCGAGCAGAGAGCCCAGATTCCTGAAAGTAATCTGGGCCAGTATATCAGCATTTGGACTAAAGCTGCTTTTAGTAATTGATAGTCTGCTGTCCCCTAAACCTAACTCAATATTAGGGGTAATTTTATCAATGGCTACATGATGCTTCCAATATGGTTTAGGGATATGGTTTGTCAGTGGACAATATGCTGTGTTTTGTTATGGTCCAGGTCAAGTCCGGCCCACACAAATTCTAAGTCCAAAGGGCTTGCTCCATGAAACCAGGGCACAATGCATGTGTTCAAGTCTTAAAGTTCAAACTCCATGTGTAACAGAACACAAATTTGTCAGAAAAGTAAGAATGAGGAGAAAGTTGATGAGCATACATGGTATGAAAAGCTGTAGGGCAGTTTCCCTAAAGAGCTCGAGCTTACCGACTTCAGGTTACATTTAGTAATAGTATCTAGCTGAACCACTAAGTTCCACATCTCTGTGAATTTGCTCTTGTTCTGGCAGGATGAGCTGAAGAAACTCTATGCCCAGTTGGAAATATATAAAAGGAAGAAGATGATTACAAATAACCCCCACCTCCAGAAAAAGCGGTGCTCCAAGAAGGGCTTAGGCCGTTCAATCATGAGGCGTATAACCGAGATCCCAGAGACAGTCAGCAGGCAATGTTCCAAAGAGGACAAGGAAGTCACAGACCACAGCACAGCCAAAAACACTGCCCTGGCCAGGAAGAACCCACAGGAGTCTTCAGGTAACATTGGGAAGCCCAAAGAGGAGTCCCTGAAAAACCGAGTCTTCTCCCTAAAGAAATCGCACAGCACTTATGATCATGTGAGGGAGCACATGGAAGAGTCCAACAGTTTACCAGTGGAAAGCCAAGAAGAGGAAGCTACAGAACAATCTACGCTGGAGTCTCTGTCAAGTAAAAAACTAACACAAAAACTGAAAGAAAACAGTGAGGCTGAGTCCACAGAGTCTGTGCCTTTGGTGTGTAAGTCAGCAAGCGCTCACAATCTCAGCTCAGAGAAGAAGCCAGGCCACCCCCGAACATCCATGTTGCAAAAGTCTCTCAGTGTCATAGCAAGTGCCAAGGAGAAGACTCTTGGATTAGCTGGGAAAACCCAAACATCAGGCATGGAAGATCGTGCTAAATCCCAGAAACCTCTGCCAAAAGATAAAGAAACAAACAAAAAATACTCAAATTCAGATAATGCAGAGACTAAAGATTCTGCCCCCCAAAACTCCAATCATTTGGAGGAGCCAAGAAAACCTCAGAAATCTGGGATTATGAAGCAACAAAGGGTCAACCAGCCCACTGCCAATTCTGACATGAGCCCAGGCACCACCCAGATGAAGAACAACTTTGACATAGGGGAAGTGTGCCCTTGGGAGATTTACGACCTGGCCCCTGGTCCCGTGCCTTCAGAATCAAAAGTTCAAAAACACGTATCTATTGCAGCTTCTGAAATGGAGAAAAACCCAACTTTTTCCTTAAAGGAGAAATCTCATCAGAAGCCCAGGGCAGCTGAACTGTATCAGCAAACCAATCAGAAGAGCATAGACAAGGCTGAGTTATGCCCTTGGGAGAGCCAAGGTCAGCCCGGTTTTGAAGATGAGAAGCCTTTGATTTCCAAGACTCAGGTTCCCCCAGGGAGAGCCAAAGATGAGAATGGCCGTCAGCATTTTGCAGCCAACGTGTGTGCTGGACAATATGAAGAAATGCCCCCCAAAGTTGTAGCATCAAAAATCGAGAATGAAAATCTCAACCCAACAGGAGACCAGGATAAAAAGACATCTTCCCCTGAGGAAAATGCGCCCGGCTCCTATAACTCAAGTAATAACTTTCATCAGCCTTTAACATCACGAGCTGAGGTGTGCCCGTGGGAGTTTGAGACCCCAGATCAACCAAATGCTGAAAGAAGTGTAGCTTTACCTGCCTCTTGCACTCTAAGTGCAAATAAGATGGCAGGGCCTCGGAAATAAGAGGTCTGGGATACTTTTAAAGTGTAGCATCCCCAGAAAGAAAAGGAGAAGGAAGAAACCCTTAATTCGACAGAAGATGGAAGGATCAAAAATTCCCAAGGAGTGTTTGTCCGTTGAGGGAAATGTGAAAGGCACGGGTGGAAGAAGACTGGGAGGGCAGAGTAACAGCAAAGTGGAAGAATTAGACTGGCCAAGGGAAGTCTTTCCCCTGGGAACACGAGGAGAATCCTTACATTTCAGCATGGTTAGCGGGAGTCGCCCTCACTGTCTGCCCCTGATCAGTATTTACCCATGGCACTTTGAAGATCCTAAGCAAGGCCAACCAGAAGACACAGAAGAGGTATGAGATTTTGCAAAGAACAAGAAGGTATAGATCTATATGACCGACATTCTTAAGTAGCTAACTGAACTTACTTTACCTATTTAACCGTGATAGCACTGCTAACTTAATGCATCCCAAAAATACCTTTTATATTAATGATTGCTCTCATTTTCTTATAAATGTATGTTTCAGTACATTGTTGTGTCTCATATTCAAGCATTCCAGATTGTATAATTTTTGCAAATAACTTTGATATTACGTGACACAACACATTTATGCAATCCGCAGCTACTCAGTTGTTATTGCAAGTTACAGAATACCTGCTATTTATCAACTTTAGTTGATCCTTGGAGTACAATAAGCTCTCTCTGGCTTGGGAAGCCATAACCGTTATGATAAAATCTTTTAGTTTTGGCTGTGGTTTATATATTGTGAATTTGGATTTGACTCTATTGTTTCACATCATGGTTTCTTATACTGTCTTAATCAGGGTTTTTTATACAAGTTGAGTTACTTGTTTTGCACTTCTTGTTAGGACTCAGAGATCAAGTGGTCCTACTTAGTCATATGTCTCAGTAAAGGACAACTTACCTATTGTTTGTTCAGAGTCAGAGACAGGTAACACCTTCATTCCAATTTATTGTCCCTTTTAACTCTTTCAGTATTTCATACTTAGCAGCATTTCGCCAGGAAGAAGCTAAGAGTGAGAAAAACACACTGCGCATTATTATTACCACTGAAAAGGGAAGACTCTAGGAACGACATGAGAATTGTCACAGTACTGCAGAGCCAGGAAATTTGCCTTTCAAAACACAGACAGGAAGGGAGCTACTGATAGCACTTTCAAGGGAGTATTTTTTTAAAGAGAAAAATTATGATAGCATCAAGATCACTGTATGGATATATTTTTATTATGCATACTGAATATATATTTTAAATTACCTGAAACTACTTATTCTCATAAACTCTTATTCATTGCTTCAGCTAGGGGTAACACTTGCTGGGCTTAAATCCCAAAGAGGTTTATACCCTGATATATTCAAAGCCTATAACGTGGTGTGGGCTCTTCCTTTTCCCAAGCACTGGAAAACTTACAAGTCCTGCAAATTGCCATTGTGAGCCACCCAGCTCAAAATAAAAAGCGCAAGGTTTATTTGCAAAGCAAAACAGCCCCCAGAGCAAAATTTGTAAATCGTACTGCCTTCCACCCTGATCACTTGGCATGAGAATCCTAAGCTGCTGACTTTGCTGACTTGGCCCTACTGATGTGATCATGCAAAGAGATTCCATTCCAAAGCTCAGTCTCATTTTATTTAAAGATGAATCGCTTAAGAATAAAATGCAGACTTCCCTTTCTCTCGTGCTAGACACACTGAAGGATCAATGTTTTCTTTGGCCAGGACATTTCCAGCCTAACTAATGGCTTTTCATTTCATGAGCAGCAAGGAGAACATGCTAGGAGGATAAAAGATAAGAAAAGAGAATCAGAAGGTAGATACAGGGCTGTTCTGAGAAGATACCATTCTCAGTGGAAACTAGAAACTAGGACTTCTCCTTATTCATCATCAAAATTTTCTCAGTGGTTTGTATTCAGGAGTAAGTGAGCACGTCACCATTTTGCAAAGCTGTGCATCCATCTTCCTCACCCATTTGCTTGCTTTGTGCATTACTCAGGTTGGTGGGGTAGGTGTGAAGAGATATAGAAATTCTATTTTTCTGTGTTTCCTCTATTGTACTTCCTTCTTTTCTTCCTTTTCAGTCAAGGCCTCTTTATTTGTTAACCTTAGAACACAACTTTAAGGCATATTTATATTGAACTTGGTTTGGAATTTCCAGGTCCACCTACTTGTTTCATTTATGTTCAAGGTCTGTTAGCACTTTATTCACTTTTTAAGAAATAAGCAGTTCAAGCATCGGTGACTTTTTATTGCACTTCAGGATGATCCTGCTAGAGATGTGGCTTAAAGAAGACTTGCCAAATTATACCTTAGTGACATTCTACAGTCCATAGATTTTTTTCCACCAGCATAAATCAGTGAGAGTGCCTCCAGTCTTTCCTAGAGTTTTATTGCCATTACTTATCACCAAGAGAAGTTTAAATCTACAATTCTTGAGGTTATTTTCCTAGATCAATAACAATAAGAAAGTGAATCAACACTGTTAAGGTCACAAACATTTGCTAGGTTGTCCTTCTCAATGCATGTGCAGGCTGCATCCTGTCCTTGTTTTTAAGCCAGGGTTTATAAATAAGTAGATTTATACCAATCTTAATAGAACTGTATATTTTATGCAAGAATTAAATGCTTTACGACATGAATTATAACTCAGCCCATTGTAAACTTTGGTGGTAATATGGATTTGAAACTCGACAGTTCTCTTGTATTTGCTTCCTAGGTTTCTGCATGCAAGTGGTGACAGGTAGAGAAACCTGTCTTTTGAGGTTTCTCACTGCCTTTTGACTTCTAGCATTTAGCGACTGAGAGTTGTAGAGTCAATAAAGCTGTAAGTCTCTTCACTTAATCTGTGGTTCTTCTGAAACTATTATCTGAAACCGACAGCATCCCACCATGAAAAATATTTGGTAAATTTATGTTGTGATGTGTTACAGCATGTAAATAATTATAACTTCTCTGCAATAAAACATATTTATATGAAAGTGATTTATGGTGATTTGTGTATTTATCAAAAATCAAATTTATTTCACCTAGCCAACTTGAGAGGGAATCTCATATATCTTTGGCCTTGGTACACTTATGCACATACATCCTCTTATGCCTGTCTACGGAAATACGTGATTAGCTGCATGTGGCCTCAAACATCCAGGTCATCATTTGGAGCCAGTAAAACCTGTTAGGGCTAGTGATTTTGATTTAAGAAAGCTCTGCCCAAATGGGAAGTAATTCAGTTACCTTTTTTAATTTACTGAACACACATAGGCAATTTGCTAAACAATGATGATGATCTTTAGATGAACAAGAACTCCAATATCCAGTATCCAGTCACCGCTGTAGTATTACAGAGGAGAGCCTGACTAATTCATGGAGTCAGGGGAGGCTTAAGAGAGAGGGCAAGTTCCCAAGGCTGAAATTCTGCAAAGGCGTAAGTTATGAAGGGAAAAGGTGTAAGGCCGGAGACGTAGTTATCAAAAAGCGGTAAACTGGGTCATAATCAAGTCATGGAGTAGAAGGATCATTTGGGGGGCAGCCCAGGGATGGACTGAAGTGGGAAGAGACTGCAAGCAGCTACATTAGTTAGAAGACCAGAGAAGACAAGAGTTAAGGGAAGGGAAAGTGAGGGCCTAAGAAGGAGAGGAAAAGATTATTGGTTATTTTATCAAACTAGCATCTCCAGAGAGTTTCGTTTATGTTATATGAGGTCAGAAAATCAGGGTCATAGATAACTGTATCAAATATAAATGCTCCTTCTAAGTTTATTGACATTTTGAATAGTTTCAAAAATTTTAAAAACCCTCTCTGAAAATCTGTAGACCTCATATCACCTGCTCATGAGAAAAGCTGTGGAAAAGAATACCAGATTCATGCTATGAGAAACCTGGATATTAACTAGGCTGGGAAAAGAGCAAAGGGTTTGCTGCAGTATGGTCTTAACTTCCCATATGGGAATGGGCAGCTCTCTGAAGCCAGAGAAGCAGATGAGGCAAGGGGCAGAAAAGGGAGCTGGATCCCCCTTCTCCCTGTTCCTGTAACCAAATCGCTAGGAATGCCCTTCCCCATCTCTTCACACCATGTGTGTCCTATATTCTACGTATTCTTGGTACTTACACATAGAATCAGTGGTTTGAGTTCTTTGACCCTAAAGGGCTAAGACAAAAGCAACTGGCAATTTACAAGTCATGAAAGTCAAGTCTACTTTCTTGTGTGATAAGATGGTCTTCTCAGTGTTTGTGGGACTCACTTAGCTGATGGCTGTATTATTTTCATACATATGCATAGTGCTAGGCATTATTTCTTTGTTCTAAATTTAGAACTTTCTGGTAAAAAATACCTAAGGGAAATATTTCCATCAGAAATGGTCTTTACTGCACAAGTAATAATGTAAACCTATTGTTTAAAACAATGCAAGTTGGTTGAGATTTTCTTTATTATTTCAGCATATTCCATTCTTTTTCCCCTGAATAGTTATAAAGACAGAAATAATATCTTTCTAATTTTGGTTACTTTCTCTTTAAATACTTGTTTCTTGGCATGTACACAAAGTCCAAGCACACTGTATGTTCTAATTCAATATTAACTGGTTAGAAGGCCGATGATGAAATGTATGAATTGGTTTTTAACTTCCCTCTCTTCCTCTGTGATGTGAAAATAGTACTTTGTCAGAAATAAAACTGATCAAATGAAAATGGAAAATGAAGGATAAATATAGAAAAAGGTTTTTGCATAATAGTCACATTCCTGGAAAGAAAAATAAGTTAAACATGCAAACAGAAAAGTTCATGAGAGATCTTCTAGAACATACTCCCTTTTCAATTCAAACAATAGGAGAAGGGGAAAAATGCCCTCTTTTGAGCACATAAGAGAAAGATGCATAGTTTTTCCCCAAACACACCATGGGATTTTATTCCTCTATGCCTTCTGACTTGCTGTTTGATCCATCTGAAGTTTTTTCTCTCCTTCCTTTCCCCGTCAACATCATATGCATGATTCAATACTAGTGCGATCATATAATTTATTGTCCAAAGAAAACC